GCGAGGCAGCGAGACAAAGATAACCCGGGAGGCGGAGGCGGAGGCGGAGAGGGAGGCGGGGAGGGAGGGGGCGGCGGCGGCGGCGGCGGCGACGAGGGAGGAGAAACGGGACACCAAAAATATATTCCGAGGAGAGAGAAAACAGCTCCCCCTTTCCTTCTCCTGCAGGAAAAACGAGCGGAAACGCGCTCACACCCGAAACCCTGCCGGGGAGGCGCGGGGCGAGCGCCCGTGCGGCGTGAATATTCATCAGGGGTGGGGCCCGAACAAAGGCCGGACGGCTGGCAGCGGCCGAGACGGGGCGCACGTCCTCGCGCGACGCCCCCAAGGGGACTGAAGGAGGGGTGCGGCAGTGGGATTGCCCCAGTAAGGTGCTGAGGTTAACAGACGGCCGGGCTTGGCACTAAAGATAAAGGAAAGGAAATTGACCTGGACCCAACGGCAGGGAGGAGGACGGACCCTTCTCTGCGAGAGGCGGTGTCCCGCCCTGCCGGTGGGCCGCGCCCAAACTCTACTGGAGCGAGAAGGGGGTGTATCTAGGCAAAGAAGGGTGCTCCCTTTCGTCTCATCCCCGTGGATCGCCAACCCTCGCCATCAGATATAATGCCCTTATAACCCTCATGTCAGTATCCCGGCTTGATTTGCTTTCCCTTTCTCCTCTTTCCCTTTCTCCTTTTTCCCATGCTAAATGTGTGACCTGATTTAGTTGTAGCTTACTGAACATCCCTTGGGGGCCTGGTCCCAAGACTTTAGATGGAAACAACCCAAAGCAGCTCCTCCTGTTGCCTGGTGTTGAATTCCTTACCTCCTTCAGTAGGTGAGCACTGTCTTTGGGGCCGCAACTACTAACCCAGGTTTTGGGCTTAGTGATCACTAAGAGCCAGCAGGCTCCTTCCAACAACTTTGGGAGCTACTCTGTAGTTAGGCGTCTTAATCCTATTAGGCAAAAATATACTGTCTGTGCAGATCGATGGTTTGTATCCTATCACTCCACTGCCCCAGAAACTTTCAGTGGCTCAGTTTCACTGCCTCACAGCAGGTTCTCGAACATGAGTACATTGAAATCAGGAAGAATTTTAAAAGCACTCACCTCAGAGTTTCTGATTCAGCAGTTCGGGGCTAGGCCTGAGAGTCTGCATTTCAACCAGATCTCTAATGATGCTAATTTTGATGACAGGAATCACACTTTCAGAACTTTATCCAAGCCCTGTGTAATTGACTTAACAAACCACCACCATCATTTACCAGTTCCTTTCCCCATGTAATGATGGTTCCACTTGCAGTTTTTCAATTTATAATGGTACAAGAGCAATACACATTCAGTAAAAACTGTATTTTGAATTGTGATATTTTATCTTTCCCTGCAACAGCGGTACTCAGCATGATACTGACGGGCAGTGACCGCATTCCAGCTCACTGCGGCCCGACAAGAATAAGTGGCGGACAAGAATAAGTCACGAATCGCCTACAACTTACAAAGTGTTGCAACATTTTCAAGTAGTGTTTTGTGTTTTTTAATGCAGTTGCATCTACAAAACACCCATCTGTGCCTGAGATACTCAGCACATTATTAAATAGTCTTTGTGGTAGATGACTTTACCCGACTAAGTTAGGCCAGGTTAAGCACTTGCTAGGTTAGGTGTATTGAATGTGTTTTCAATTTATAATATTTTCAAATTACCAATGAAAATCTGTGCTGAAAGATGAGAAATGTGAAAAGTATAGTCTGACCTGGAATAGGATTCCTGCCTCCCAGTAGTTTGGATTCCAAGATTTTTGTCTATGAGAAAAATGTCTTACCTCCTTGTCTTTGAGAATCCATTGTAAGGTTAAAATGTATTCAAGGACTCCTAGAGTCCATTGATTAGGAAAGTCATCAGTAACCAAAGTGTTCCTATGAATTTAGTAGCTTATTTTTTTTTTATCTATAAACAGCAGTGGTATTGTCTATAAGTAAAAATTAAATAATTTACTCAGAGCTGCACCTTCAGACTATGTTATTATTAATAATGGTTTATTAGTGTTTGTTATAGATAGCACCTGCTGGGCCCAAACAGTGTGCTAAGTCCTTTACATGTATCGCCTTTTTATTCTGCACATTAACTCCAAAAGATAAGTTATCTTCTTTTCCCACTTGTTAGGAAAAACCAACATCTAAAGAAGTTAAGTGATAGAACTCCCTGGTGGCACATGGACTATAAAGCTACCCCCAGCCACTGCAATATGAGTTCCATACCCAGCCAAGCTGACCCACATGGCACAACAGACCTCTCCTGTCTTGCCCGCTGCTCTCCTCAGCAGTTTATTTCAGTAGATCTGCCTGGTCTGTTCCCTACTCTGTCTCTACCCTCAAACACACATGCCTCGGGCCTACACCCCAGATCTTGTATGCATAAATAAATAAAATAAATCTTTTTAAAAAGTAAATAAAGAAATTAAGTGACTTGCTCGATGTGTACAAATGGGCCTTAGTATCCTGGGTCTCCATTTCCTCTCTGAATACTAGATGAAAATTGTAGGTAAGAAGAACAGTTAATAGGCCATCCAAGCCCAGGGAGCTTAATGAGGACTGGAAAGAGGAGCTACAAGAAGTATTGAGTCAGTAAACTCTTTTAAGACATCCTAGCATGTGATAGAATGCCAGAAACAGCACAGACAAGGGAGTAAAATATTGCTTGTTGTTCAGACCCTTCCCACATGGTCAGAAGCTATCACAAACAGATGAAAGGATGCAAGCTGCTAAGTGGGCGTGGCAGAATATAAAGTTTGGGACTCTACAACATTAGTTAACTTTTTATCCAGACGCAGCATATACCTGTCCAGCTTGCAACTCTGCTTTAGCTCTGAGTATAGAGGGAATGTTCTCAATGAATAGTCATGTATTCATTTGCCATAACAGCATACCATAAACAAGGGGAGGATATTTTCCTCACAGTTTTAGATGCCAGAAATTGAAAATCAAATTTCCAGTTGATTTGGTTTCTGGTGAGAACTTTCCCTGCAGACCTACTATCTCACTATGTAATCAGGTAGATTTGCTGCATGCTAGTAAGTAGACAGCAAATTCTCTGGTGTGTCTTATAAGGGCAGCTATTTGATCAGGGACCTTATGAACTTATAAATTTAACCCCGGTTATTTCCTTAGATGCCCCATCTCCAAATACACCCACAATGGGGATTTTGGCTTCAATATATGAATGGGGAGAGGAGGGAAAGCATCAAACATTCAGCCCATAGCAAGTCTTATGCCACACATGATACCAGGAGGAAGACTTAAGTCATGCTCCTTGTCCTCAAGAAGCTATTTGAGAACCCAAAGTAGACCCACCCAAAAAGATATTCAAGACAACAAGTTGGAAAATAAGGCCAATTTAGAATCTTAGGCTAGAGGGAAAAAATATCTTCCTTGGACAAAAAAAAAGTTGAAAGAACAAGAGTGAGCAAACCAGGCCAGAGATCATAATTTAGAGAATGCTAAGAGAAAATGCTAGACAGATTAGGTCAAACCAGGAGATAAAACTGAGGAACAAACTACATGGGAGTTAAAAACAGAACCCAGGGCACCAATCAAGTCAAAGCCTTGGCTTTTAAGAGCTTATGAGCTCAGAAAACCTAGGGATGAAAACATACTGAGCATATGAAAACATACAACTTGGGGTACAATGGGATAGATTGGCAATTATCTCATCCCTTGTCACAGAAATTCTAGGAGGAACTTAAATATGAAAAAGGCCCATTATAACAAACTCCTCCACATTGCGTATTTCCTAATTTTTTCTTTGTTGCAAAAAGATTGGTAGAAACCTTTTCAAACTCAAAAACCATGGAGAGGCAGAACAAGGAGGGCGACAGATCTGTGAAACTGGACTGAACATGACTTAAGGGTTCAAGGTCACAGGTCAACTACAGATAAGTGATGAACATAGTGGTAAGCAGCGGGAATTAAGTCAAACAAAGAAAATAAAGGTGGGGCGTGTGCAGAAAAAGCTCAGAGAGGTAAAAGCATAGATTTAGGGGTCAGAGATCTGAGTTCATGTTCTATGATAGATATGGTGTTCAGCAAATACTTACCCTTTGTGCCTGTTTTCAAACAGGTAAGATTATGGGGTTGGATGAAAAAATCAAAAGCTTTTCCTTAGGGCCTTAGGTAACCTTATGTCATCCTGACCTGCT